AGGTAGATCACAAGAAACTGCAGTGCTATCATTCTGAAATTGTGGTGAAGGGCATATTATGAAAAGGAGAGGAAGAAGCTCTGCGTCATGCTTTTCAGAGTCTTTCAATTCTTTCTTGACATTGTCTGTACTTAAACCCACTTATTATCACCTTTCAGACAGAGACCCTATAGACACTGGATTAAGCCCAGTAACTCATTTTCATAATCTAATGATTAACAAGCAGATATTAATGTTGAGGCACTCTTGCCCCAGTGTGGATTTGATCTTATGATACCAGGATTGAAAGATGTCCCTCACATTTATGCATTTCTGAATAGATTAGTTAGACCTCAGTGCTGCAAGGCCTGTACTGTGTAACTATTTTGCTAATGCAATAAGATTTTTTCCTGCTGGCACAAGTGAAGTAAATAGTCTGGCAAGAAGACTTGTCTCTCTACAAGCAGAACTTGTATTCTTCTCGACAGAAGGAAGATTCAAAATCTTCTACAGTTTTTCTCCTCCTGTTAGGATCCAACTGATAACTCTAGTGACAAGAACAGACAATGGAAACAGGTAAACTTAATCTAATGATGTCCCTGTGCTTTCAGGATAACAAGTCTCAGGTTTATTGTAGTTGCAGAATAATTATCATTTCCCTGGCATCTGGAATGAGGTTTAATATTTTGACCTTTGCTCTTAGAAGTGGTACAAGGTACATTAAGTTACTGAAGTTTCATCTATTCTGGCTGAATCAAAAAGGTAATTTATAGGCAACTCTTTCTCTGTCTTGCGGGGCTCTGTGATTCATGATATATAATCAGCTTCACAGAAAAAGGAGAGTTAAAGCAATGTCAAGTAAAGCCAGAACTTTTTTCCTTTCAGGCCTACCAGCCACCTCACACAAAAATGAAAGAACCTACTAAACCCTTTCCCCTGTTTCACTCGAAAAAAAATCTGATCTAAAGTATATAAAGCTGAGATGTGAAAGGTGGTGGTAGTTCTTAACCCCAAGACAAATAGTGTTCATGGGCCCTATAAATTCTATTGCCTCCTTGATGTACTGTATGAAAAGCCTCATAAAGAAACAGCCCAGCAGAACAATGCATCATGGGATGCATGACCAGAAAGCAAACTTCACTTGGATCATGGAGTAAAACCACAGCCGGTATGCACTGCTCACACAACAGCTGACGCAATTACTTAATGCAATGCAAAAAACCCAGTTAGCAAATATCAAGTGCAGACATGCCCTTTGTCTTCCTCCATGTTCATGCCTCTTCGGTAGGACAGAACCTGTACATCGATTTACCATATTTTCTAACAAGATGCACCTTTTTCCCAAAAATCAGCCTCCAGGGTACATTTTAAGCATGGAAGCTGTTTTCTTCCTTGCTTAAAAGGGAGTAAATAAGTCTGGAGACACTGCATGCCATGCAGCTGCCAAGAGGGCAGAGTCCTATGTCAACTTTCTCACGGCGAGAGGTAGGTAGTCATTTTAGTCTGAAGTAGGGCAGAAATTAGGGCAGATTTGCACATTACAGACTATAGTTAGGGTTCTACTTAATTAATGGTTTAATTGATTTTGTGGAAACCATGAGATTTGGGATTGTCTGTGAAATCAACACCAACAAAAAAATAAAATACTGGCTCCTCAGTGGGAGCTAGCAATCCTCACTGCTGTGAGGGGAAGGTGCCAGCTAGAGGGATGGCATGAATATTGCTGGTTACCTGCCTTGTCCCTTCTCCCCCTCCTCTCTGCTAATCAGCACCAAGGGACGGTGACACACAAAGGGCAGTCAGCAGTCAATATGGTGGCTGCCCTCATCCCCGCTTCCCCCTGGGCCTCTCTGCACTGCAAAATGACTGCAGAATTAGAACCTTACACCACAATCAACCCACGGAAATTGTTAAGTACCCCTGCGATTTAGGTAGACCCTTAACTACAATGAACATTCCTAGGCTGGAACCATTTTTTATATTAGTCTTCTCATGTAAGGCTCCTCACAGCTGAAGCATCTTTTGTTTTTTTATTTGCTTTGCTTCACCTGCTAATGGAGGATTAAAGAAGTGTTCAAGCAGTTGGGAGCACACAGAGAATAAATCCCAGAAATGTTGACCCTTGATAACAGAGTAGAAGTAGCAGATAGAGTATCTTGGAAGAGAAATTTTCTGTTTTAAGTAAGTCTGTAATAGATATGGAAATTGATCTGAACCATTGCTCTGCCTATACTGCTGGAGGCCAATAGTCTGACACCCAAACCACATGGGTGAAAGCCAGTTCCCGAGGTCTGTTTGACAAGTCTGAACCAAGTAGTATTTGCAGAAAAAAGGATGCATCTCCAAAAGTCTGATGGAAAAGAAATTAAGGACTGACAGAGGAAGCATGTTCCTGTAAAAAGTAAGGCAAAATTCCTGTTTGATGGCAAAACACTTTGAGAGCTTTGATGGATTTAATAGTGACATTAATTACCAATTACACAAGTCCCATGATTCACTCAGGTGTATGCTTAGCTTCATGTTAAACTGTACTTGAAGATGGGTTTTTGTTTATGGTCAAGAACAGTTTAAGAAGGAATCCATGTGGATTCTTGATAATAGTGTTAATTACTATTGTGTGTTGAGAGAATTTAGGAAAACAGTTATAATGCTGCACAAAGAGGATGCTCCAGGGAAAGCCAGTTGAGACTTCCTGCAACAAAACATCAACCTACTGCTGTGGGTCATGGAAGGCCTGACTATCACATGTAAGCGTAAGGGCTAGTGAAAAGATAGAAAATAATAGTACAAAATGAAAGTAAACTAATCTCTAATCCTCCTGCAGTTCCTTTCTTTTGCTTCTCTCTCTATGACAGTATTTTAAGGACCAGTAAAGGAGGGGGGGGGGGGGGGGGGGGGTGAGGAGGAACGAA